GCTTGTGTGTTGCAAAAAGCTGATTGGAAAGTTTGTATTGGTCCTTTACTTTCTTGTGTCTTTTTAAAAAGGACGCAAATGCAGATATCCCTTTCTTCTTCTTTTTTATTGCAAAACGTTTTTGGTTCTTCTGCCTTGACCATTGCCAATAGTTGAATTGATTTGCCCCAAACTGTAGCATTTAAMCTTTATTTATCCTATTCAAATGGCAAAAATGATTGATTAGGTAAAAGGACCAATTTGAAATCTCTCATTCAGGAGGATGATGGATTTAAACCTGTCACAGCCAAACAAGCTCAATGTGCTGCAATTGAACAGATTTTCAAAGATGAGAGAAGAATCAGAGCAAACCACATTCAAGATAAACTTACAAAAATCTACTTAGAAATAGAATACAACTAAATATATAGATGTATTGAAGCAAATTATGATGAATCAGCAATACGAAACCTATAATTTTATGAGAAACTAAAAGAAAAAGATAAATAAAAGAGGAAGCAAAACTACTTAAAGAATAAAAAAGAAATCTAAAAAACTTGACTTCATTGTACAGAACTCAGCAAGATAACACTAACTCAGAATATTAGATTAATAATCCAGATGACAGTTTTTTTTATACTTTTTAAAATAGTTGTAACTTTGGCTTCCAGCTGTCACTATACAATGTGAAACATCTTTTAGTTTCACCCCATTTTATTGTTTTACCCCAAATCTCCATTCTCCTGACCATCTGCAAAATCTCTCCCAATGGATCAGTTTTATTCTGAGGGGGTGGCATCACTAAGTCACGGTCAGGGGGCGGGGTGTGTCTGGATCTCCATGGACATGAGATTGGCTCTCTGGAGAAATAGCTGGCAAAACATTGATTCACCTGGCCGTAGTCTGGACACACACACACACACGCATACACACACACACACAGCTTTATAGACAGACAGACACTCAGGCAGCTGCTAGCTTGATGGGGAGGCTGATGGTGCACGGATGAATAAACACTCAAACCGACATCATGGAATACAAACTGCAACACACAAGCGCGCACGCTTACACAAAAAAGCTGTAAGCCATCAATATGCAAACGAACTAATTATATGACTGAGTGACACATTCTGCACACCCATCCATCCACTCCTGTGCACACACACCCACACACGCATACTGGACATGTCAGCTCCAATATAGTTTACTATCTCAAAACACAGACAACAAATTGAAAACCTATTTACAATCTGAATCAATGGGATATCAGTGTCATTTATACCATCCACACAGCACATAAAACTTCATTAGTTTAGTGACACACTAATAGATTTTTCTACACAATTGAGATATTGTGGGTGAGGCTGACTTGTTCCAGCGTTTGGAACCAGGAAGAGAGAAAGCCCCGACAAAGAAAAGGAGGAAGTGGGCAGACGCTTTTATGAAGATGGACACACTAAATCTGACATTACCATGGCAGCTCATAAATATCATAATCCCTGAGACAGCAACGACTTGTACCACGGAGATCATGTGACCACAGAGCACATGGAGACATGCTGAAGGAGATGAATGCCTGTTTTGTTTGCCATACAGTGTCTGTGCAGGCGAGGGTGGAAAGGGGAATGCCCACAAGAACAGTTTACCACTGTGGGGGTGATCCCCTGCACCTCCACAGGCTCAAGATAAACTGTGTTTAAAGGGGGGGTTCGGGGAGTTGATTCAAAGAACACAGGGATGCAATGTGTAGGCACACAAGATGAGGGGAGCTGCTGAAATAACACTGTTCCAGCTGGCAACTGGACACACACGCAGACACACCTCCCTGCAGTCCGGCATTAAAGGGACTCCATCAAAGCCATTCATGTCGCTTCCATAAGTCATTCTCTCATTTGCAAGACAAATGGAATAGCCAGTTAAGAGCCAAACACCAAGCTAACATCCTCATTTATTTTCTTGAAAATTGAGTCTCCAAACGTCCCAACAATTGAAACTTTAATACCTCAAAATAATATTTTACTAAAGCRCATTCCAAAATGTCCATTTCTGCTATTCGAGATTTAGCCCTCACAGTCACATCTAAAACTTTTCTCATTTTTTCTTTTAAGATTTATTGCATTTACCTTCAAATCACAACTGTATTAAACAATTACACTAATTTATTTTTGTCAGCAGGCAAAATGAACTTTATCTTTCCGTAGCCATCCCTTGCATGCATGAGAATACTTGTTCTTTTCCATCAGTCTTTTTACTGTGTAACAACCTAAATCTTTCAAAAAAAAAAAATTTAAATCAAATCTCAAGTTTTCCAGAGACAGTCCTGTGTCCTTGGGTTTTAATAATTTATGCTCATGCAGAACACAGATAAGACCCCATTCTTATAATGAAAAATAATCACAGAATCCATTTACAATTTTAATCCAAGCATGTTTGATCGAAACATGAGCCAACACACTTTAGGTCAAACGTTCCTGATCCTTCATGAAATAACTATTGTCACTGTAGATTGCAGCAACATTGATTTGTTTTTGCTTTGAAAGTTATCTGATAATTGAGAACCACAGACTGTTGACTTAGCTCTGTGCTTTTATTGAATAATTAAAGGAACCCAATAGGTTTGTTTCTTTATACCTTTTATCCTTCAGATGACTCCGGGAGATGCCCTCACAATTTGACACAAAGACCAGAGTGTGATAAATGAACGCAGACCTGATCCACATTTAAATCAATGCYTCGGTCAAAGAGCAAAACAACTATAGTTAATCGTTTGAGAAAGGGGTCAGTTTTTCTTCTTGGTGACATGAGATGGATTTTTGAATGTAATGCTCAGTTTACAGGTTTGCAGGTATTTGTTTACAAAAATCAAGGCAAGTATTGATTTCTTAACAGCTGTAAAGTTAAACCTGTCAAATAGCAGGGCGTCCTTCAGTAAATGGACACACAAAGAGAGTCCAGTGTGAAGGACTTCCTGCTCTGGAGAAGACTTTTCAATTTTTCAATGTTTGACCCACAAAATAACAGTAACCTCTGCACCCAAACACTGATATCAAGTCAAATAATCACAWAATATTCATTATGCTAATTTAATCCATTTTTAAGTACACTAACCTCACTTTTTTGTAACAACTAAGGCAAAAAAAGTTGTTAGTAGTCATTTTAAAATGTAATTAATTTTGAAAATCAAGACCGCACTTTGATGTTTCACGACCCAAAGTTGGGTCCTGACCCCCAACTTGGGGAACCATTGGTCCATATACGTTACATGTTTAAATTTTAATAAGAAACACAGTTTTTAGAGGTGTGGGGCACAACTAATGGGCATTTACAATAAGGTTTGTCATTTAGGTAAGGTCACCTCTAGCAGGGTTCAATTTGTCTTGTCGCGCTGAAGAAAACGCAGGTGGATGACGTCACTGCAACCAGGTGTCCTTAATTAGCTAGCTGCCTGTATGTTTCAGACAAAACGCTGCTAAAATGTCGATTTTTTTATTGATATTTTCTTTTTAAAACTTACCTAAGTGTAAAAAAAGGTAA